TCTTCCCCCCCCCCCCAAGCATCACTCTGCAGTGGGGGCAAGGGACCGACCTGAGCTGCCCCCTTCGTCCTGCCAAGGCTTGTCCTGAAAAATCTCCGTCCTCTCCCGCACTGCGGAACCCGAAAAAGGAGAAAGGGAAAAAAAAAACCCAAAATCAGGTCTCGGAGCTATTCCTGGCCACCAGCTCCCCTGCCCACGGTGGCCACGGCCACCAGCTCCCGTGCCCGAGGTGGCCACGGCCACCAGCAGCTGCCTGGGGACTGGGATTACCAGGATTGGGATGCGGGTGTTACTGGGATTGGGGGTTATTAGGACTGGGGGTAATTAGGATCAGCAGTGGGCATTATTAGGAGCGGTTTTACTGGGATCAGGCACTATTAGGACTGGGGTGCTGGTGTTACTGGGATCAGGCACTATTAGGACTGGGGACTGGTGTTACTGGTGTGGGGGGTTATTAGGACTATTAGGACTGGTGTTACTGGTGTGGTGAATTATTAGGACTGGGATGCCGGTATTATTAGGACTGGGCGTAATTAGGATCAGCAGTGGGTGTTATTAGGAGCAGTTTTACTGGGATCAGGCACTAGTAGGACTGGGGTGCTGGTGTTACTGGGATTGGGGGTTATGAGGACTGGGATGCTGGTGTTACTGGGACCAGGTGGTATTAGGATTGGGGTGCTTGTGTTACTGGGATTGAGGGTTATTAGGACTGGTGTTATTGGGATCAGGTGCTATTAGAACCGGGATGCTGCCGTTATTAGGCTCAGGAGTCATCAGGACGGGGGTACTGGTGTTACTGGGATTGGGGGTTATGAGGACTGGGATGCTGGTGCTATTGGGATTGGGCTTTATTAGGACTGGGGTGCTGGTATTATTAAGACTGGGGGTAATTGGGATCAGCAGTGGGTGTTATTAGGAGCAGTGTTACTGGGATCAGGCACTATTAGGACTGGGATGCTGGTGTTACTGGGATCAGGCACTATTAGGACTGGGGACTGGTGTTACTGGTGTGGGGGGTTATTAGGACTATTAGGACTATTAGGACTGGTGTTACTGGTGTGGTGAATTATTAGGACTGGGATGCCGGTATTATTAGGACTGGGCGTAATTAGGATCAGCAGTGGGTGTTATTAGGAGCAGTTTTACTGGGATCAGGCACTATTAGGACTGGGATGCCGGTATTATTAGGACTGGGGGTAATTAGGACCAGGATGTTGGTGTTATTGGGATTGGGCATTATTAGGACTGGTGTTATTGGGATTAGGTGCTATTAGAAGCAGGATGCTGCCGTTATTAGGCTCAGGAGTCATCAGGATGGGGGTACTGGTGTTACTGGGATTGGGGGTGATTAGGACTGGGATGCTGTTGTTACTGGGATTGGGGGTGATTAGGGCTGGGGTGCTGGTATTATTAGGACTGGGGGTAATTAGGATCAGCAGTGGGCATTATTAGGACCAGTTTTACTGGGATCAGGCACTATTAGGACTGGGATGCTGGAGTTACTGGGATTGGAGGTTATTAGTACTGGGGTGCTGGTGTTACTGGGATGGAGGGTTATTAGGACTGGGATGGGGGTGATTAGGACCAGGATGCTGGTGTTACTGGGATGGGGGGTTATTAAGACTGGGGTGCTGGTGTTACTGGGATGGGGGGTGATTAGGACCAGGATGCTGGTGTTACTGGGATGTGGGGGGGG